GACCAGCGGGTCGCCCGCCCCGACAGCCCGTCCTCCTCTCCCCTCAGGCCGGCCTGTCATAGGCGGGCGCCGGGGGCGGCTGCGGAGGGCTCTCCGGCTCCGCTGCGCCCAGCTGGCGGCCGACACGGGTCCCCGACAGCGTCTGTGGCTGTGGTGGCGTGACGCGGTGATGACCGGGAGGGCACGCCACACGGGCTGTGCTCACGCTCAGAAACGAGGGACAGAGAGCCGCCCCCTGCAGTGTAGCCGGCGCCTCTGGGCAGGTCTCAGGCCGTCAGGAGCCGTGATTGTCTGGTCCGGATCCCGGCGGCGGCAGATGAATGAAGTCAGGGCTGGCCCCGGGCAGCGGCCGTCCCTGGAGCCCGTTTTCCCCGTTTCCAGGTTCAGAGCTCCCTGACCCCGGCGTCTGGTGGAGGGGCACTGCCTTTGGACCGAGGCTAACCCGGCCGTGCAGTAGTGACCAGACACCCTGGGGCTCTCGTGCAGTGCGGGCCACAGCGCCCATTCTTGTAAGATTCTGCGAGCACGCCATTTCCACCGAAAATGTTTTTTGAAATATATTTTTCAAATTAAGATTCAGACAGTTCATCCCAGACCTAATACTTTAAACAATCTGGATGTCAAGGTCAGAGAGCAGGAAAGAAAGCACAGGCCCATGTAATAGAGCTCAGATCCGTGTAATAGAGCTCAGACCCGTGTAATGGAGCTCAGGTCTGTGTAATAGTGCTCAGGTCCATGTAATACAGTGCGGGTCCGTGTAATAGAGCACAGGTCCATGTAATAGAGCTCAGGCCTGTGTAATAGAGCTCAGACCCATGTAATAGAGGTCAGGCCCATGTAATAGAGCTCAGACCTGTGTAATAGAGCTCAGACCCATGTAATAGAGCTCAGACCCGTGTAATAGAGCTCAGACCTGTGTAATAGAGCTCAGACCCATGTAATAGAGCTCAGGCCTGTGTAATAGAGCTCAGACCCGTGTAATAGAGCTCAGGCCCATGTAATAGAGCTCAGACCCGTGTAATAGAGTGCAGGCCCGTGTAATAGAGTGTGGGTTCATGTAATAGAGCACAGGTCCATGTAATAGAGCTCAGACCCATGTAATAGAGCTCAGACCCATGTAATAGAGTGCAGGTCTGTGTAATAGAGCTCAGATCCGTATAATGGAGCTCAGGCCTGTGTAATAGAGGGCAGTCCGTGTAATAGAGCTCAGACTTGTATAATTGAGCTCACGCCCATGTAATAGAGCTCAGGTCCATGTAATAGAGCTCAGACCCGTGTAATAGAGCTCAGGTCCATGCAATAGAGCTCAGGCCTGTGTAATAGAGCTCAGACCCGTGTAATAGAGTGTAGGCCCATGTAATAGAGCTCAGACCCATGTAATAGAGCTCAGACCCGTGTAATAGAGTGTAGGCCCATGTAATAGAGCTCAGACCCATGTAATAGAGTGAGGGCCCATGCAGTAGAACTCAGACCTGTGTAATAGAGCTCAGACCTATGTAATAGAGTGAGGGCCCATGTAATAGAGTGAGGGCCCATGTAATAGAGTGAGGGCCCATGCAGTAGAACTCAGACCTGTGTAATAGAGCTCAGACCCGTGTAATAGAGCTCAGACCTGTGTAATAGAGTGAGGGCCCATGCAATAGAGCTCAGACCCATGTAATAGAGCTCAGACCCATGTAATAGAGCTCAGGCCCGTGTAATAGAGCTCAGACCCATGTAATAGAGCTCAGACCCGTGTAATAGAGCTCAGGCCCGTGTAATAGAGTGAGGGTTCATGTAATAGAGCTCAGACCCGTGTAATAGAGTGAGGGTTCATGTAATAGAGCTCAGGCCCGTGTAATAGAGCTCAGGCCCGTGTAATAGAGTGAGGGCCCATGCAGTAGAACTCAGACCTGTGTAATAGAGCTCAGACCTATGTAATAGAGTGAGGGCCCATGTAATAGAGTGTAGGCCCATGTAATAGAGCTCAGGCCCGTGTAATAGAGCTCAGGCCCGTGTAATAGAGCTCAGGCCCGTGTAATAGAGTGCAGGTCTGTGTAATAGAGCTCAGATCCGTATAATGGAGCTCAGGCCCGTGTAATAGAGCTCAGGCCCGTGTAATAGAGCTCAGGCCCGTGTAATAGAGCTCAGGCCCGTGTAATAGAGTGTAAGCCCATGTAATAGAGCTCAGGCCCGTGTAATAGAGTGTAAGCCCATGTAATAGAGCTCAGGCCCGTGTAATAGAGTGCAGGTCTGTGTAATAGAGCTCAGATCCGTATAATGGAGCTCAGGCCCGTGTAATAGAGCTCAGGCCCGTGTAATAGAGCTCAGGCCCGTGTAATAGAGCTCAGGCCCGTGTAATAGAGTGTAAGCCCATGTAATAGAGCTCAGGCCCGTGTAATAGAGTGCAGGTCTGTGTAATAGAGCTCAGATCCGTATAATGGAGCTCAGGCCCGTGTAATAGAGCTCAGGCCCGTGTAATAGAGCTCAGGCCTGTGTAATAGAGCATGTGCAGCCCGCAGCCTGAGCCGGTGGTGTGGGTAGGTCACACCCTGAGCAGTGCCATCCCTGCTCAGCAAGGCAGGGCGGGCCGCTTGCGTTTGAATGGTGTTTTGCTGGGCTCCTTTTCCTTTTTTATAACGATTAAGAGAATGGTAGCTGCAGGGAAGACCAGTTTTGGGGTGAGGTTGGGGGCCCAGAGCTCTCACAGGCAGATGAAGGCTCGCTCTGGATTCCGAGGTCAGCCGTGCCATCTCTGGGAGAAACGGGCCGATCCTCCGAGGACCGGCCGCCCAGGCTGCCCGTCTCGGTGTCTCTGGAGGGAGGTCTGGTGACAGCCACGCCCTCCCGGGGTGCACGTGGGCCCCCTATAAACACGCTGCCCTCCAGCGATTGCTGTCCTCCTCTGTCGGTGCGGCCCGCTCTCTCTCCCTTGGGACATGGGCCCACCTGCAGGTGGAGCAGGCTCATCGGACGGGCCCGGTGCTCCACAAGCCGCCCTGCGGAGTCTGGACACCTCACCCGGGAAGGAGTTTCTGTCCTCAGGTCACAGCTTTTGGTCCTTGTTGTGTGCATGTCTCCATTCCAGTCGCTCGGTACACGCCACCTTTGTAACAAATTGGGGGAGGAGTATATTGTTTATTAGCCCATCTGTGTTTGCTCCCAGACTCTGAGTGTCTGCAGGGCCTGAACTGCATCTTTTCTTGGTATCTCCCATGACCAGCACAGGGCCTGGTGCTCGGCGGCGGCGTTTGTTGATTGACTAATGTATGGACCGACTTACTGAGTGGATGAAGGAATGAGGGATTACTCTGGATGCTCAGCACTGAGCATGCCGGGGTCCATCTGGTTTGGCTGTTAACCCCGTCCCTCTGCACTGTTGGTGGCCGGGGGCCTGCCTTGCTGTTGACAGCACGGCTCATGTTCAGGGCGTTACTATGTCCAACTGCCCCCCGCGGAGCTGTGTTCGCCGTGTGGATGGAAAAAGCGTGAAATTATTTTAAATGATGGTGAAATAATAAAACAAATAATAACCTCAAGTGCCAGACAACATTACTTTCATGGAGCTCTGCACAAAACGTCTCCACGAGATCGACTTACAAAGAACACACAGAGGAGAGGCTGGCGTCACTGACGACAGTGCCGAGGGGGTTGGTAACGGGGACGGAATGCTCGCCGCCAGGGTGTGTGGTGAGGACAGAACCTCTGCTTCCCGCCGCGGGCAGAGCCGGGAGGGGAACGGCTGGCTGAGGACCACGTCTGGACGTTCCTTTTCGGAACCAGCTCCGAGTGAGACGGGTGAGGTGAGCTGAAGCCCTGGGCATGGTGAGGGTGGGGCAGAGGCACATGGAGACAGAGCTCACCGTAGTTTGGGCCACACGTTAGGGACAGGAAGTCAGGGTTCTGCTTGGGGGAGGATGTGCACAACCCAAATGCTAAGTGACATGGACACACATGTGTGTGCATGTGTGCGCGCATGTGTGTGTGCTCTCGCGCGCGCGCGTGTGTGTGTGTGCGCGTGCGTGTGTGTCTGTGAGTGTGTGTGTATGTGTGTGGGTGTGTGTGCACACGTGCGTGCGTGCGTGCGTGTGTGTGCGCGCGCATGTGAGTGAGTGTGTGTGTGCGCGCGTGTGTGTCTGTGAGTGTGTGTATGTGTGTGGGTGTGTGTGCACACGTGCGTGCGTGCGTGCGTGCGTGCGTGTGTGTGCGCGCGCATGTGAGTGAGTGTGTGTGTGCGCGCGTGTGTGTCTGTGAGTGTGTGTGTATGTGTGTGGGTGTGTGTGCACACGTGCGTGCGTGCGTGCGTGCGTGTGCGCACATCGCAATTTCTTCACCACGAATCCAGCCATGGACACGTACGCTGCTCTGAGTCTTGGCTGTTTGAATAACGTGCGACGAACATGGGCTGCACAGACCTTCCTGAGGCCGTGCTTTCACCGTCTTCAGATAAACACCCAGCGGCAGAATTGCTGGGTCAGGTTTTGAGGAAAAAGTATTTTAAATTTCATGTTTCATTTAATTGCAGGTGTTTCTGTTCTATAAGTCCTGTTTGGAAGAGGGGGTGAGTATGCACGCAGGGAGGCCCGCCCTCAGCACCCGTATGGACGCTGACCCTTCTCCCTCCCGCGCCCGGCGTGCTGGGGCTTTCTGTGTTCTGAGAGCCCAGCTCAGGTGGCCCAGCTCCGGGTGCCCCGCCAGGGAAGCCTGGTCGGAGGCGGAGCCTCGCTGCTCACCACCTTTGCCCTGTGGGCGGGAGCACGGGGACAAGTTATTGGCCGGGCTTGTTCCCACGACAGACAAGCAGAGCGTCCTCGACACTTTATTCAGAACGACACCAGCCGCGTAGGCACACGCCAGGGAGAGGGGGCAGAGACTGTGGTTCCACAGCCAAGGCCGTGCTGAGGGCCGGGGACCCCCGAGCCCCACGTTGACCGCATGGCGACGTCGGACGACCAGGCCGGCCTGTGGGACACGTTCCGGGGAAACGCAGACAGGAGCAGGCGGCCCGGAGACAAGCGCACTCACTCTGCGGGCGGCGGGCGCAGCTTGCTCCGGATCCAGGCCTGGAGCGCGGGGGTGAGCAGGGTGTAGACCCCGGGCTTCGTGGCGTCACCACACTTACGGCCTCCGGAGACCAGGCCGGAGAAGGCGCCCCCGCAGAGCAGGGGGCCCCCGGAGTCGCCCTGCAGGGAGGACAGACGCTGGTGAGAGGCTCCGGCTTCCCTCGCGGACGTTCTCCGGGCCCCAAAGACCCCCTCACCCCGCAGGGATCGTGTGTCTGTGTCTCTGTCCGGGCCCCAGTTCTGTCTGTCCATGTCCCTGCCTACACCGCCGGTCATCAGTGGCTGTCGAACTCACTCATCAGGAATGGGCGGACGTAGAGTTTGAAACACTCCCTGAGACGAAGGGATTTTTAACTGCGAGTGCCCGGGAGGGGCCCTGGCCTGGACCGAGCTGCTGGGACACTCTGTGCTCCGGGCCCTCAGCTCCGAGCACACCTGGCCTGGCCCAGCGCTGGCCCCGCTCCCCCGCCCCAGGCGTTGCTCACCTGGCAGGAGTCCTTCTGGCCCCGGGCGTCGCCGGCGCACACCTGGCCTCTGGTGATGACGGGCTGGCCGTTGTAGAAACGCCGGCTGTTGCAGAGCTTGCGGCTGATGACGGTCACAGTGACTTCCCGCAGGGTGTCCGAGGGGCTCAGGCCGTCGGGGTCGGTGGCGCCCCAGCCGGCCACCTGGCACTTCGTCCCGGCCCCGAGGTCCCCCCGGGGGCGCGGCCGGAGCAGCCGGACCTGCTTGCTGAGCTGGGCGGGCTTGTGAAGCTGCCGGAGGGAGCGAGGGGGACCATCGCCGTCCGGTCCGCACTGCGGCGTGTGGTCCCGTCTGCCCGCCCACCCCCACCAGATCCGCGTTGGTGGTCGCTGCAGCTGCGCTGGGTGCTCGGCGCTCGGGAGGGCTCTGGAGCTCCGCCCACGCTCAGCGAGCTGTCCCCGCCCCCTGATGGCTCTCTGGGACCCAGGGGCGGGGCCTGGAGCACGGCCTGCCTCCGTGCGGGCCAGGCGAAGGGCGGCCGAGGCTCCGCAGGCTCCGTGGGGTGAGCGATTCGCCCACGGTCGGGGCATCTGGGAGGAAGCTGTGCTGAGGACCCGGCCTGCGGGCACCAGGCCTGCGTCCTGGAGGGGAAGAGAGCCTGTCTCTTTACGGCCGTGTGAGGGTGCCCGGGCTCCGGCAGACCGGGCCGGTCACTCCGCCCGCGGGGTGTGCCCGCGGACGCTCCGTGTGGAGGCTGAACATGGATCGCGGGTGCCAGGGCGGGGGCAGGCGGGGCCGCCACGCACCTTCACCAGCATGACGTCCTGCGACGCGGGGTCCACGGTGAACCTCGAGAACGGGATGAGCTTGGCGACCCCGAGCGTCTGCTTGGAGGCCTCGTCCTTGGAGAGCGAGTGAGCGCCCAACACCACGTGGGAAGACGGGCCTCGGGCAAACCTGGCCGACGGGACAGAGGCAGCAGGGTGACCCGGGCCCGGGGGAGCAGAGGGGGAGCCGGGCCACCCCACGGGGAGCCAGGCCACCCCACGGGGAGCCGGGCCACCCCACGGGGAGCCGGGCCACCCCACAGGGCACATCCCACAGGGAGCCGGGCGCACCCCACAGGGCACATCCCACAGGGAGCCGGGCCACCCCACAGGGAGCCGGGCCACCCCACAGGGAGCCGGGCACATCCCACAGGGAGCCGGGCCACCCCACGGGGAGCCGGGCCACCCCACGGGGAGCCGGGCACACCCCACAGGGAGCCGGGTGCACCGTCCCCCGGCTCCGGGCCGGGAGCTGCCCCACGGGGCCCTGACGGGCAATCGGTGGGGCCACCTCTGGCCTATTCATACAGACTGGGATTGATAAAGCTCATCACATTCTCCAAGCCCCAGGCCGCCTCCACCTCTGCACCCCGGCGTCCAGCTGCGGACACCTGACCCACACCGTCCAGTCCTCTGACTCCGGCCACGGAAAGGACACGTGGCCGTGTTCTAGACTCCAGCACTGGCCACCCACCCTGGCCGCGCCAGGCTCCTGACGGCATTGGACACGGGACTGAACGCCGACCCGCCTGGCAGGCAGCGGTGTGCCCAGCTGGGCACCAACCTGCGGGCGCCCTCCCCCCGCCCCGGCCGCCCTCCCCCTGCCCGGGCACCCTCTCTCCGCCCCGGCCGCCCTCCCCCTGCCCAGGCACCCTCCTCCCGCCCGGGCGCCCTCCCCCTGCCCGGGCACCCTCCCCCCGCCCGGGGCGCCCTCCCCCTGCCCGGGCACCCTCCTCCCGCCCGGGGCGCCCTCCTCCCGCCCGGGCGCCCTCCCCCTGCCCGGGCACCCTCCTCCCGCCCGGGCGCCCTCCCCCGGCCCGGGCACCCTCCCCCCGCCCGGGCCGCCCTCCCCCTGCCCGGGCGCCCGGCCCTGCAGGAAGGAAGCCTGTGTCCGGGGGTCCGAGTCCGTCTGATGAGCAGCTCTCCGCTGTGCCCGTCCCGAGCTGAACGGACATTATTGATTGTCACCCGCTGCCTGGCGGCCCCGGGGACGAGGGCCCGGTGGGGGGGGAGCAGACACGATGGGACACGGTGGTTTCCGTGACAGCGAGGGCCTCGGTGAGGTGCCGAAGCCACAGGAACCGGGAGGGGGCCGAGACCCAGAGCAGCTCCCCCTGCACAGCGTCCAGTCGTGGCAGCCTGGCCGTGGGCAGGGGAGCCCCCTCCGAGGCCGAGGAGCCGTCCCTGCTCTGCTCATGGCGGTCACGGGTGCGAGAGGCCTGGGGAGCGGGCGCTGTGCCCGAGGGCAGGAGCCGCCGCCTCCTGGCTCCCGGGAGAGGACGCACACGCCAGCGAAATGCCCTCCTGTGCTGGAGGGGTGAGGGCGGAGGGCGTTCAGCTGGGCTCCGAGAGCACAGGCTGAGGGCTGAGGGGCTGCTCCCCCCGTAAGGTGTAGCCCTCACAGCTGTGATTTCTGAAGTCAGGGCCTGGCCTGGGGGGCAGGGGGAACAGGGAAGGGGCACAGGGGTTCCTGTGAAGGATCTCAAACTCGTTGCGAAGCGGCTCCTGGCCACACCTCAGTGCCTCTTGCTGTGCTCAGACCTGCCAGGCCGAGGCGGACACGTCACCGGTGTCATTGCAGACACGGGAGCAGAGCTTCCCCCTGACCCCCACCGTCAGGGCGGACGGGGCACCCACTCAGCTGCAGCCGCAGGAGCGGGACCCCGAGGGCCCCCTGTTTCTGGGGCCGCCTCCCTGGTGCCACACGTGGTGTGGGCCTGCCTGCCACGGTGGTCGAGGCCGCCGGCTGTCCTCAGGAGGGAGCCCAGGCAGGATGTGCGGGCAGGAGGGTGAGTCAACCCCGCCCAGCGGCCGGTGCCCATGGGAGCCGCGGTGGAGCACCCCCCCCCCCCAGCCCCCTCCCCGGAGGCCCTGTCCTGGGGACTCACCGGTGGTGGCAGTGGGCGGCGGTCAGCACCCACTGGGGGTGGATCAGGGCCCCCCCGCACACGTGCTCCCCGCGGTGCTGCAGCGAGGCCATGAAGGGCCTGGAGTGCGGGGCCACCTCCCTGCCTCCGATGACCTCCGAGCCGAGGCCTGCGGAGAGACGCACGGTCGGCCGGGAGGACGGCAGCCGGCCCCCGCGGCTCCTCCCCGCGGCTCCTCCCCACGGCTCGGAGCATGTGCAGGGCTGGGAGCCGTGGCTGCCGTGTGGACAGCTGCATGGGCTGGTGCGTGAGCACTGGCACCACGCATGCACGCTCAGAGGCCCGGGCGTGCGAGGAGTCTGTCACGGATGCTGTAGCCGCACAGAAGCTGGAGGTCCCGTCCGGCCCCTGAGGGCGGGTTTGGGAGACACTCACCTGCGGGGGTCAGACAGGCTCCGGCCGCGAGGAGAAGCAGAGAGAGCGCCGTCATGACACTGGCTAAGCAGCCGGGCAGGAGGCCGGTCTGAACGTGAGCCTTGGTCTTGTGAGTTTTGAGCAGCTCCCAGCCCTGGGGCAGGGTTTCACACCTCGCCGCCTGTGTCAGATCTCTGCTCCTCACACTCGTCACAGGTGCGATAAACACCTTGATCACAGGTGCGATAAACAACACCTCGCTCGGGGTGTAAACGGTGAGAGAGTGAGAGATGGCGGAGCTGTGGGACTTCCTGAAGACAGAGCCCAAAGGCGGCCCTGCCTGCTGTCCTCCCCCGAGGACGAGGACGGGGCCAGCACAGCGAGCGCCTCCCTCCCGCACCAGGGACAGGGCCTGGGCACGGGGAGACACGGACCCTCACAGGTCGCGGGCTCCATCCAGGCCTCGCTCCGGCCAACGTCGTCCGGAGAAACCCACGGGCCCTGCAGCCAGCTCCCCCGCGCCCGGCTCCTCTCCCGGTTTGGCCGAATGTGGTGGAGCTGAGCTGCCTTTGGCAGACACCACGGTGAGACCAGAGGAACCGTGGCAATGTGCTCCAAAGGCCCGAGGCCTCCCTCACTCTGAGAGGGAGAAGACCAGCTTCTACCCAGGGCCTCCAGGGTGGTATTTGTCAGACCGAGGGCGAGCTTGTGCCGCATTCTCCCCGGGCCGGCGGGCACGCTGGCCAGGCCGTCCCTCACCCGGAGGCGGCGGCCGGCGCCTGTGATCCTGCTTTTCCGGGCGCCAGGCGGTGGTGCCACCGTGGCGAGAACACCAGCCGCCCGCTGGCATCGGACCAGAATGGCTTCAGAAACGCTGACCACCACCTCAAGGGACAGACCTTTCTGAACACAGAGCATCCTGCCTGCCGTGTGACTCCGTGGCCCAGGGGGTCCACGGTTCAATCCCCGGGCAGGGCACAGGCCGGGCGCGGGCTCGGTCCCTGGTGTGGGGCGAGCAGGAGGATCGGTCAGTGACTTTCTCTCATTGTTGTTGTTTCTCTTTCTCGCTCTCTCTTTCCTTTCCTCTCTGAAATCAATAAAAATACAGATTTTTTAAAAAAGACATAAGCACCCTATTTTCTCCTTCTTCGTTTTTGTGATGGAGAATCGAAATCCAGGAGAACTGACATGTAGTACTTGCCAGATGGCAACAGACTCCTTCCCAATCATTGTTTCCAGCATGAGGCAGCGGGTCGTCAATATGACAGGTATGTGTCGTCCATGAAGATTTGATAAGTGCCTTGCATTACTTCCAGAATCCTTCTCACACGGTCGTTTACCTGTGGCCACGTCTGAGGCTGTGAGGCAGGACGGACACGGTGGTGTTGATGCCGCGCAGGGAGGAGCGGGCTCCGGAGCCGGGCGGCCGCCTGGGGCTGCACAGCGTGGCCGGGCAGCCCTGGGCCTGGCCCGGAGTAACCACGCTGGTCAACACAGACACGACCGAGCACGGCGTCTGCAAAACCTCCCGCCTTCACGTCTCAGGGCCGAGGCCACCGCAGAGCCTGCATTTACAGCCTCAGCACGACTTCCTGTCGCAGCGCCTGTGGGCGAGGGGAGGGACGGAGTGAGAAAAGCCACAGGTTCACGAGCTGCTTGTCAGCTGCAGCCGCGGTCCCCGCGAGGGCCCGGCACCTGTCAGGGCGGCAGGAAGCTGCCGCCTGCCCCTCAGCGCCCGTGATGCCGGGCACGCAGGAAGGCGGCGCGGAGCGCGTGGAAGGCGTGAGGAAACCTGCGTTCCTGGGGCTTCGGGCGGCCTGGCTGAAAGCCGCTCAGCACTTAGTTTTGAGCGACAAGGGCTGACACCCCCATGCCTTCTCTCACCTCGATGACACCTCAGCGCTGGCTCCGGGCGTGGCTGCCATCTTGCTCTGTGGGTGGAGCTCGGTGGAGACGCAGAGCTGGCAGGTGGCAGCCAGTGTGGGGCTCCAGGCTCCTGTGCTCCAACCCCTGTGCCCACCCCAAGAGGCAGCTGGTGGTGCCCGGGGGAGGTGGTGCCTGGGGGAGGACACAGCCGTGTGCACTGCAGGCAGACACGGCGGGATGCAGCTCACTGGGAAGGACATCTCCTGTCTCCCTGGTGGTTGACCTGGAAAGTTCTAGAGCCGTGGTCAGCAAATTCATTAGTCCACAGAGCCAGATATCACCAGTACAACGATGGAAATGTCTTTGGAGAGCCACATTTTTAAAACTTAAACTTCTTCTAACACCACTTCTTCAAATCAGGCTCGCCCAGGCCACGGTAGTTTGTGGAAGAGCCACACTCAAGGGGCCAAAGAGCCGCAGTTTGCCGACCAGGGGGCTAGAGAACCCTGTTGGTTCACAGCCTCGAGCTCCCTGGCCTGGGCCGTGGGCGGGGCCGGCAATGGCACCCTCTGTTACTTCCCGAGGCCCTGGGCGGCGAGCAGGGCCGAGGGCAGGCCGAGCGGCGGTCTCGGTGTCCTGCCGAGGCTGCTGCGTGTTTGCTTTGGACGCTCCTTGGTGTCCTGCGGGGCTGGGCGGGCGGGCGGGCGGCTGGCTCCGTGCCGGCCTGTGCTCCTGGCCGGGAGGTGCTGAGTGTCCTCGTCAGCTGCTCTCGGAGATGCTGCCCACGGCCTGGCTCCCACCCTCCTCCCGGGCCCTCCTGGGTGCCCGAGGCCGAGGGGAGCAGCGGCCGGGAGCCCGGGGGCCAGGTGGCTCTCTCCCCGGGCTGCTCTCTCTCCAGCTCAGAGTCCTGCCAGCCGCACTGCCCAACAGCCACTCCCACCCAAGCCCTGTCCGCCCGTGTCTGCCCGTGACACCCCCATGACCGTCTGGGGCAGGACGAAGGCTGGGAGTCAGAGCTTAGAAGTCACACAGCTCTCCACGGGTCACTTCTGCATGACATGCAGGTTAACGTCGGCTCAGACTAGTCATGGAAGAGGGCATGTGCGTTGCCCGCCTGTTTTTATTATTTTATTTTTATTTATTTTAAATACATTTTTATTGATTTCAGAGAGGAAGGGAGAGGAAGAGAGAGATAGAAGCATCCATGATGAGAGAATCATGGATTGGCTGCCTCCTGTACACCCCACACTGAGGATGGAGCCCGCAACCAGGGCCAGTGGCCTGACCGGGAATCGAACCCTGACCTCCTGGTTCCTAGGTCGACACTCAGCCACTGAGCCAGGCCGGCCAGGCCGCCTGCCTGTTTTTAATGGATAGTTTCCATTTGCCGTGCTGTACTGTGTAACTGTATCAGCCCATGGGGACCGGAACCAGAACCAAACTGACTGGCAAACAAACACCCCCCCGGGACGCCAGGCTCCCCCACAGCTGGTCTGCGCACCGCTCTGTGGGCTCGGCAGCAAGGCGGCTGTCTTCTGAGCCTCGTCTGGTCCCTCACAGCTGCCTTTGAGAAAGTTTCCTGACTCTGAGGTTTCCCAGCCCCCAGCCCCAGCCCAGGCCGGTGGGATCGGGATTTGGCAGAATTCCCCAGGCCCCTCCTGCATGGCCATGACCTTCACTTTGACTTGGTCCATTAACGATTTAGCGAATTCGGTAAACGAATGTGCTGATGAGATGGGGTGACTATGGCAGCTCTGAACGCTGGAGTGGGAAGGCTGCTGGCAGCGGTGATGACGTTATGTAGGAAGGGACCAGGGAAACGCAAGTCCTGCTTCATATGCAGCCATCCGCCCCCTGGGGCTCCTCGGCATTGAACTTGGCTTTGAACTTGACCTCGAATCAGGACGCTGGGTTGGGGCCTATGGCCCAATGGCTACGTACATTTTTTTTGTAAATTATTTTATTGATTTTTTACAGAGAGGGAGAGAGAGGGATAGAGAGTTAGAAATATTGATCTGCTGCCTCCTGCACACCTCCTACTGGGGACATGTCCACAACCGAGGTACATGCCCTTGACTAGATTCAAACCCGGGACCTTTCAGTCCACAGGCCGATGCTCTATTCACTGAGCCAAACCAGTCAGGGCTGGCTACATACATCTTTAAGAAACATATTTTTATTGATTTCAGAGAGGAAGGGAGGAGGGAGAGATAGAAACATCAGTGATGAGAGAGAATCATGGATGGGCTGCCTCCCGCACACCCTGCACTGGGATGGAGACTGCAACCCGGGCCTGTGCCCTGCCCGGGATCGAACCCTGACCTCCTGGCTCATAGGTTGGCGCTCAGCCACGGAGCCACGCCGGCCGGGCCGGCTACAGACCTTAAACACCTCAGAGAAGCTCTGGGACCTCCTTCGAGGAATGACGGAGGTGAGGAATTTGTTTTATCTTCCTCCACCTTAACTTTTGCTCAGAACGCACTTTGCATATTATTGCCTCCTCGATGACACAGGAGGTTTCCTCCCTCCGCTCCTGAGCTCAGTGGCACCGGAGCGAGTCCTCACTCCTCCCAGGGAACGTGGGTGACTGGGTGGGTGGGGGCGGTGAGCACAGGGTCTCGCCGGGGGGGGGGGGGGGGGTGCCCGTGGGAAAACACCGGGAGTTGGCCAGTGGGGGTCTCCCGGCCTCCTGGACCGGCCGCTGCTCCGAGGCTCCTCTCAGCCGCCCCGTGGCCTCCGTCCTCCGTTCGCCTTCAGGGCGGCTTTTGACGCCCACTTCCCTGTGTGGGAGGTTGGGGGCGGGGAAGTCCCCACGGGGTGGCCCCGTGATGTCACGGCCCAGGCGGATGATGACACCGTCTGCATCTCTGTCCCGGACGATTCACGCACACGAGGCCCTTCCGGAGGGAGGCCCCCACGGAGGGGACAGCCCCGCACAGAGGCAGCGAGGACGTGGGTGAGCCCAGGGGGGTTTCAGGGAGAAAACTGGGGTTCACCTGGAGGTCAGGGAACGGCGCCGGGGAAGGCACCAGCGACAGGGCCAGGGAGGGCAGGGGGCGGAGGGCGGGAGTGAAATGCTGCAGAGGAGCCGCCCGTCGAGGCTGAGGCCCGCGGATGGGAAGCTGCCTCTGGCCTGTGAGCATGGTTGATGCCAGGCCGTGTCCCAGGCCAAACACACCCTGGTTTTTAGAACAGAAACGGATCCGTCAGACGGAATGATCTTGTCACACTGAGAGCAGTTCAGTGTTCACTCTCATCAGAGTGTCTTCACACAACCAAGTCCCAGAAGGCGCAATGGCAGGCAGCTCAAAGGGGACGGGCCATCAGATGGCTCAATCCGGGAGCAGTAGGCGCTGTGGCCACGCTGGAACTTGGCAAACCGACGGATCGGCATTTCCCGGGGTGCCATTCACAGGGAGGTCACGCTGGAATGGAGACACAGCTCCAGGGAGGACAGACATGATTTTTCCAAAGGCTGGTGGTTAATAACATATCTGTCTCCCTCTCCCTCACATCCCCCTCTCCCCACACCCACGGACTCCGGACTATTTTTTTTTTAATCACAAATTCCAGGCGGGATCAAAGACTTTCTATGAAAAAATGAATTCACTATGCACACCGAATGAAGCCGTAAATGGAAAATACTGTTTGAGAGGGGAAGTATGTATAAACCTTCCAGTACATTAGACCAGTGGTCAGCAGACTCATTAGTCAGCAGAGCCAAATATCAACAGGACAAAGGTGGAAATTTCTTTGGAGAGCCACATTTTTGAAACTTAAACTATATAGGTAGGTACATTGTTATTAACGTAATTAGGGTTCTCCTAAGCTGGCCTTTGCTGAAAACTCAAGGGGCCAAAGAGCCCCATGTGGCTCTCGAGCCGCCGTTTGCCGACCACGGCAGGAGAGATATAAAACTGTGGCTTCTGTATGGCAGGAACACCGCAGGCAATGGCCAGAGACGTACGGCCAAATGTTTGTCATCTGCGTTGAAAAACACTTTCCCCAGAGTTATCTCTAACACACGAGGGCTCTTACAGGTCAACCACAGAGGTCAGAGTAACACATGGGCGTGATGGTGAGCAAACAGCTGTGAGCGTGAATGAGACAATCATTTGGTTAGATTTCCAGCATATAAACGCACGATTTTGGTGATTACAGCCTAAAAAACAGGCACGCGCCGTGTCTTTGTGAGTCTCGTTAAGCATACATCGACGCCCTAAGAGCACCGGCCTGGTGAGCGCTGACAATCAGCCCACACGCCCAGGTCGCTGCCCGAGGCCGATGCCCTCAGACAGGTAGTCAGTGGATTATCACAGTCCCAGGAGGCTGCCCCGCCTGGCTCAGACACGTCGCTAACAGGAAGGCGTGGATGCTTAAGGAGCAACCGTGGGAAGCTGATCCCTCCTGGAGACCAGGCCGGGAAGGCCGACGTTTCTATTCCCCGAGCTGAGTCGCTTTGGATCCAGAAAGCCAAAGCGCGCTGGGGCCTCTCCCGCCTGGGGCATTGTTTGGAGCTTTCGTCAGCGAGCACTTCCTAAATTTATTTTCTCAGGAGGCAGGCCCGGCGCGCCGCCTGGAGGGGAGGTGTGTGCACAGCTCATGGCCCAGCGTCAGAACTGTAAGCTGGGGGGGCGGGGTGAGCACGTGTGTGTGCATAGGTGTGTGTGTGTGTGTCTGTGTGTGTGAGAGCTGGCTGTGGATATTAAACTCGGGCTCTATAGCTCATACACATCTCACCCTAAATACCTCCGGTCAGATGGGCTGGGTGGTCTCGGGCAGCCCGCAGAGGGAAGCCTTTGACTCCATCCTGTAAATTCTAGTAGCAGACGAAGGATCGGTCAACACCCCCTGGTCCCGCTTAGCTAAGGTGACCAGACGTCCCGCTTTTGGCGGGACAGACCGATTTTCAACAATTTGTCCCACGGCATTTTAAAAAAGTCAAAATTGGGACTGTATTTTTAATAAAATATATATTTTATTGATTTTTCACAGAGAGGAAGGGAGAGAGATAGTTAGAAACATCGATGAGAGAGAGTCATCGATCAGCTGCCTCTTGCACACCCCCTACTGGGGTTGATGCCCTTGACCGGAATCAAACCCGGGACCTTTCAGTCCCCAAGCCGACGCTCTATCCATTGAGCCAAACCGGTTTTGGCAAAATTGGGACTTTTTAAAAACACTGAGGGACGTGGAACAAATTGTTAACAATTGGGAGTGTCCCGCCAAAAGCGGGATGTCTGGTCACCTTACGCTTAGCAAACTGTTGATGACCAGTCAACACAAATAAAAGCAGGTCGGCCCTGGCCGGTGGCTCAGTGGGTAGAGCATTGGCCCATGGACTGAAGGGTTGGATTCTGGTCAAGGGTTGTAGGCTTGCCCCTGGCCCAGGCCGGGGCATATGCAGGTCTCTCTCACATCGATATTTCTCTGTGTCTCCAGCCCTGCCTTCCAACTCTCTAAAATTCCCCGGGGAAAATATCCTTAGGTGAGGATGAACGAATAAACCAACAAAAAGCAGTTCTCTTTACGTAGGCAGCGCCTATGTGTCTTGGACTCTGACATGTTATCAGTGCGATTTGTGCCATTACTCTATGGGTCGTTAAGGAAGGAAAAAAAATTCTTTTAAAAAATACATACTCTTATTGATTTCAGAGAAGAAGGGTGAGGGAGAGAGAGAGAGAAACATCAATGATGAGAGAGAATTATGGATCGGCTGCCTCCTGCATGCCCCCTACTGGGGATCCAGCCTGAAACCCAGGCCTGTGCCCTGACCAGGAATTGGACCCGGGACCCTTCAGTCTACAGACTGACGCTCTATCCACTGAGCCACACCAGCCAGGGCTCCCCTCTCCTCTTTAACCTCTTCTGCCCCACAGACGTGGCTGAGCAGGAGGCTGAGAGGCTGCTCTCCCCGACCAGACGCTGTGGCCGGGCAGGCGGGTGGGCGTGGAGACCCTGCTTCCCGGGGGCCATGTTTTCCCTCCACTCGCCCGCCTCTCGGCTGGGCCGGGTTCCCGCGCCGGCTCGCTGTTTCCCTGGGCCGGCTGCCCCGCTCGGTGGTTTTCCTGAGGCTCGGGGGGTGCCAGGCGGTGAGGGGAGGGCTCGATGGGCTGAGCCCCGGCCAGGCAGGCGGTGACAGACGAGCCCCAGCTGATAAGCGTTTCCAGAGTGAGCAGCGGGGTCTTCCCCTCCCCTCCCGCGCCCTGCACTGACTCTCAGGGACGGTCCGGCTGCAATGCCTCCGCTTTCCAGAAGCTCCGTCCCTGACAAACCCAGACGTGCGCGTGGCGAGCTGCCCCAGAGAAGCACCAGGGGGGAAGGAGGGTCTTTAAACACTTCCCCTCCAGGCCGTCCCGCCGAGCACCAGAGGCACAGCGTCGCCCTCTCCTGGCCCCGCCGCTCTCCGTGGGAACCGCGCGCGCCTTCCCCCCGGGGGGGGGGGGGGGGCGGCCGTCCGCCCTGTGCGAGGAGCCGGGCCGGGCCCCCTCGCCGTCCTTGAGCCCCGGAGACGGAAGTGCGCGGGGTTTCGCTCCTCATGCAAAACAACCGTCTAAACATAATAGATGACATCAGCGTGGGCTTTTCAATTCCTGGATGGCGGCGTGACGGCCGGCCTGGGCTGCATCCTGGGCTTGCAGACCGCGGCGGAGCCTGGCAGGGCAGAGCCAGCGGCGCTGCCTGCGGGACCTGCCGGAGGCCGGGCAGCCGGTGCCATCCACCCTGCACGTGGGCGCGGGCTGGGCTCAGCTTCCCTGGTGCCAGCGGAGCCCCCGAGGAGGAGGAGCAGGGGGAGCAGGGGGAGCAGGGGGAGCTAGCCGAGGGAAGCATGCGGGCCTGGCTGCTGCTGCTGGCCTGGCTGCTGGCCCCCGCGCTGCCGGCCCCCGCGGCCCCCGCCTGGAGCCGGGGCGGCCGGTACGCGGTGGACTGTCCGCAGCGCTGCGAGGCCCCGTGCGCCAGCGGCCGGCGCTGCCCCCGGACGGTGCCGGATGACTGCGGCTGCTGCCCGGTCTGCGCGGCGGAGCGCGGGCACGCCTGCTACCGCACCGTGGTGGGCATGGACGGCGTGAAGTGCGGCCCGGGGCTGCGGTGCCAGCTCCTCAGCGCGGAGGACGCCTTCGGGGACGAGTACGGGGTCTGCAGAGGTGAGGGGCCGGGCCGCCCTGCCGGGGCGCACGGTGGAGCCGGCTGGGGCGGGGACTCTCCGACGGGGACCAGCCGGGACAGGTGGGCGAGGACGGGCCAGGCCGGGGCGTCCGGCAGAGGGAGGCTCCCTCTGCCCGGTGCCTGGCCCGTGCAGGGAGCCAGACCAGCCTCCCTCTGTCTGCGGGAGATCTTTAAAGCGGCAGTGAAGACGGTGCTGCCTCCTTGGCCGGGACTTTCGGGAGCCGCAGAGAAGCTCGCTGGGCGCTGGGTGCCCGCTCTCCCGCCAGCAGTGCCGGCGGCTGGCGCCCAGGGGAGCGGAGCCGAGCCGGTGACCTCCGGGAGGGCTGCCTGGCCCTGGCCAGGGCTTCTGTGATTCTGAGAGGTCCCGGTGGGAGGGCATTTCTCAGGATCAGTGTTTCCGAGCAGCCCGCTGGCTCTGTGGCCGGGGCTTCCTCCCGACAGCTCAGCTCCCCTCAGGAAGGGGGCCCGGAGCGGGGAGCAGACTGTCCTCGGTTAGGGTTCGGTTGTCAAGGAGAGCAGAAGCAGAGATAACCCCGAGAAAGGGGAGGGGGCTCCTGGGGGATGAGGCCAGGGGTCGCACGGACGAACAGGAGGTGGGCTAGGTTACGGTGATGCTGAGGGACAGGCTGAGCATCTGGAGAATTCTCCTAAACACCCCGATGACGGTTGGCATGTTTGAACTGCCGAGTCCGGGAAGAAGGACCTGCGGGTCCCGCGCTGTCAGCGGCCAGAGCTGCTATCACTGAGACGCCCGGTGCCGTGGCGGCCGTCAGCGGCACAGCACAGGGGGCTGTCAGTGCCGAGGGCCGGGGAGGCGCGGGAGGCGCGGCCTGGTGTGTATTCCGTCCATCTGTGTGCTCCTGTGACAGGGAACCACACAGCCAGAGCTCAGGCGCCAGTTCTCCTCTTGCGGACAAATGAGTCACTTTTCACCTCAGCACACACTGCGGGTCAGGGCCGCTCGGCTGTCCGGGTGATCGGCGCGGTTTAGCGAAAGGCGGACTGGTGGGCACGCTTTGCTTCGGGGAACGTCCGCACATGTTTCTCTCAGCCGCGCGGGGTCTGGGTTCTCCAAGAACCACGGGCTTCTCGGCCAGGACACAGTCCCCGCTGTAGGGCGCTCGGGGGGGGGGGGGACAGCGGGAGGCAGGCAGCCTCTGCTCTGCCCCGGCAGCAGCCGCCCGGGGACGCGGGGTGAACGAGCCCTCGCATGGGGCACCGGGTCTCGGCGCGCCCGTGTGTCCCCGCCTGACCCCGCCGCTGTGACCGCGGTGCGTCGTAAGAGACATTTAGGACCCCGTGTGGCTGGTGTCTCTCCCTCTGCCGGGAGCCGGGAGCTGGGAGCCCAGAGCCCAGAGCCCCCCAAGTCTCCAGCGGCGCCCCCTGCCTTGTGCTGCAGGCGCCTCCCCCTGCCCCCCTCAGCCTCCTGGGGGTGAACGCGCCCACGGAAACTGCACACAGGGCTGCATGCCAGGTGCGCCTGGACATGCGTGCGCTCGGCGCTGGTGGCCAGGTATCAGTCAGCAGCCGACGCTGTCTGCTGAGCACCCAGTCCCTCTGCCCGGACACCCAGACGGGAACGGGCTGTGGCTCCGGTTTCAGTTCCAGGTGCTTCCCCGGGAGGGTCTCAGCGCCCTGGAGGGCTCCCCGCGGCCGGGCCGGCAGCAGGGTTCCTGCCGGGACACAGGCAGGTGCCCGCCGCTGCCTCCCGTGCCATCCTATGTCTCTTACACGCACCGCGGTCACAGCGGCTGGGTCAGGCGGGGACACGGAGCGTGCCGAGACCCGGTGCCGACGGCCTGAGCCACTGCCCCTTCACCCCGCGTCCCGGCGGCTGTGCCGGCACAAGCAGACGCCGTCTGCCCCCCGCATCTCCCACAGACGACCCTGAGGACCGCCCGGGCCTGGGGAGCAGCCGTCACCGCGGTGCCTTGGCCGGTCTCTGTGTGGCTGTGCGCCGGCCCGAGGCGCGCTCTGCCTGTCCCGCGTGGCTGGAGGGCTGTCTGTCCCGTCTGAGCCACACGCCTTCCCCCGGGAACGTGCCCCTCTCCTCGGCCGGCATCTTCCGCTGAGGGTGAAGCCGGCTCTGAGCGCTCTCAGGCTCCGCAGGTGAGAGGAAGTGCCCCTGCCTGTGGGCCGGGGAGCCGCCCTCAGCTCTGGGCTGTCCGGGGCCGCCTGGCCGGGGTGAGGTCCGGTCCGGCCTGTGGACAGGGCGGTGTGACGGACGGAGCTCCCGAGCGGGACGGCCCTCGCCCCGGCTGCTCAGAGGCCCTCCCTGGGCACTGAAAACAAACAGGTTCAGAGCGCCCTTTTCCAAGGAGATCAGCTGCCCCCCGCAGCTGCCACAGGGTAACGGGCCAACCTGCCCACGGCTCCGAGGGGGCAGGACCGGGCGGTGTCCCTGGCTCAGCTCCACGCAGTCTGTGTTTCACGTTTGTTTATGGGCATGTTTACTGGGGTGGCAGCCTATACAACAAAGAGGAAATATGCAAATTGACTGGCACACCCTCACAAGATGGCGGTTAGTGGGGGATGACCAAATGACCGAACAAACAGGCTGTGTGGGGCAACCAGGCTTGGGGTGGGGGGGCTGTGAGGGGCGACCAGGCCAGCAGGGGGGTCAATTTGGGGCAACCAGGCCAGCAGGGGGGGAAGTTGGGGTGACCAGGCTAGCAGGGGAGGAAGTTAGGAGTGACCAGCTAGGCAGGCAGGTGAGCAATTAGGAGCCAGCAGTACAGGATTGTCATAGGATTTCAGACTTCCCCTGAGGGGTCCCGAATTGGAGAGGGTGCAGGCCGGGCTGAGAGCCCTCCCCCACCCCGCATGAATTCTATGCCCTGGGCCTCTATTTGGTTAACAATAGTATATAGTTTTGAGGGTACAGTTCTATTTTGTTAACAAGAGTATACAATTCTATTTGGTTAACAATAGCACCTAGCTTTGGGGGTGCAGTTCTGTAACCCATCGTCTGCACAAACAGGGGTGCTAATGAACAAAATAAACAGCCCAGCATAGCAGCTCACTACTCCACGTCTAACCCCCCCCCCCACCACTGCCCCGTGCCCCATCCCCCGACCCAGTCCTCTGTCTGCGGGTCTCCCTCCGCTCTGCCCGCCCAGCGCCCTCCCCACAGCGCCATCTGCTCTGCGTCTGCGTCTGCGTCCGGTCCGCTCTGCTGGGCTGTTCATTTCGTTCGTTAGCGCCCCCGTTGGTGACAACGTTGTCTGCTGTGGAGAACGGGGTGTCACCTGACAGCCCGGTTCCGGCGGGCTCGGCTCCCAGGCCGGACGGGGACGCGGAGCCTAACCCGCCCTCTGCCCGCAGACTGCCCCTTCGGCACCTTCGGCGTGGACTGCAGGGAGACGTGCCGCTGTCTGCTGGGCCTGTGCGACCGAGTGACCGGGAGGTGCCTGCAGCTCCCCTTCCTCCAGCACGCAGCCGCCGGGGCGGCCGACAGGGGCGCTGCCCACGCCGGTGAGCGGGGCGGGGGACACGGGGGGGACACGGGGGGACACGGGGGGACACGGGGAGGACACGGGGGGGACACGGGGGGGACACGGGGGGACACGGGGGGACACGGGGGGACACGGGGGCAGGGGACACGGGAGCAACACGGGGGGGACACGGGGGGGACACGGGGGGGACACGGGGGGGGACACGGGGGCGGGGGACACGGGGGCGGGGGACACGGGGGGGACACGGGGGGATACGGGGGGACACGGGGGACACGGGGGGATACGGGGGGACGTGGGGGGGACACGGAGGGACACGGGGACGGGGGACATGGGGGGGCACGGGGGGAAACGGGGGGGACACGGGGGGGGCACGGGGGGGACATGGGGGGATACGGGGGGACACGGGGGGGACACGGGGGGACACGGGGGGGACACGGGGGGGACACGGGGGGGACACGGGGGGACACGGGGGGACACGGGGGGGACACGGGGGGACACGGGGGGACACGGGGGGAACACGGGGGGATACGGGGGGACACGGGGGGATACGGGGGCGGGGGACACGGGGGGACACGGGGGGACACGGGGGGGACACGGGGGGGACACGGGGGGGACACGGGGGGACACGGGGGGGACACGGGGGGACACGGGGGGACACGGGGGGGACACGGGGGGGACACGGGGGGGACACGGGGGGACACGGGGGGGACACGGGGGGACACGGGGGGGACACGGGGGGGACACGGGGGGACACGGGGGGGGACACGGGGGGATACGGGGGCGGGGGACACGGGGGGACACGGGGGGACACGGGGGGGACACGGGGGGGACACGGGGGGACACGGGGGGGACACGGGGGGACACGAGGGCGGGGGACACAGGGGGACACGGGGGGGACACGGGGGCGGGGGACACGGGGGCGACACGGGGGGGACACGGGGGGGACATGGGGGGGACACGTGGGGGACACGGGGGGACATGGGGGGGACACGGGGGGACACGGGGGGATACGGGGGCGGGGGACACGGGGGGACACGGGGGGGACACGGGGGCGGGGGACACGGGGGCGACACGGGGGGGACACGGGGGGAACACGGGGAGGACACGGGGGGGACATGGGGGGGACACGGGGGGGACACGGGGGGGACATGGGGGGGACACGGGGGGACACGGGGGG